CGGGAGCCGGGGAGGCGCCGGCGCACCTGCACCAGCGTGTACTCGCAGTCGCCGCTGAAACTGTAGCGCTGCCCATCGAACGTGAGGTAGTGGCCGTCCCCGTACACGGTGCAGGTGGCCAGGCAGGGGTCGTCCGTGCACCGCCACAGCCTTTTGTCGCAGGTGCTGGCGGGGCGGCAGGAGTCAGGCCAGAGCCTCCGCGGGCACGGGACGGGCGTGGGACGGGGCGGGGAGTGCACGGGCTTCCCAGGGGCTCCTGTCTGGTGGGTGCAGCCGCCAGGCCCCCCAGCAGGACCGGGCACCACAGATGCCGACGGGTCTCCCTGGCTGGGGCTGGGGGCATCCAGCCTGACTCTGTGCCGAGCGTCCGCCCAGGACGGGAGCCCGGGGCGTGCGGCCGTGCCTACCAGTTGTTGCAGCCCACGCGGATGGTCTGGCCGGCCTGGTAGCTGGCCTCGTTGTGCACGCAGGGGCAGTCCTCCACCGCAATGCAGCCGCCCTCGCCGTCCGCCACCAGCCCGTCGGGGCACACGCAGCCGGGCACGCACTGGGGGCTATACTGTGGGGCGGCAGACACGTGGAGTGACGGGCGTGGCCGTCCCGGGGACAGCTCCGCCGCACCCCTCAGGAGGGATCTGCCTGGGATGCGCCAGCCGTGGACCGGGCACCTCCAGGCCACGGGCCGCCGGGCGGCCTGGGGACCCTCCTGTGCGTTCAGGAGCTGCCCCCACCCCAGGAGCAACCGCGCGGGGCCGCGGGTCTCCACGGGTGCCCTCAGCCGGGGCGGGGGGCTCTGGGGCGGTCGTGGGGCTTACGCAGGCCATGTCCAGGGTGTCGCAGCTCTTCTGGCAGCCGGCCCCAGCGGCCCCAGGCGTGGCGTTGCGGCAGTCAAAGTAGACCATGGGCTCGGCGCACACTGCGGGGAGGGGGCCGTCAGGGGACCCGCCACCCCCGCCGGGCTGGCTCCAAGGGACACGGGTCGCCCCGGTGCCTGGACCCACACGTGCAGGGAGGGCGTGTCTGTGCCGTGTGCGTGTGGGGCGCCCACGCCCCCCGTCCCCACGGCTGAGCCCAGGGCTCTCGCCACGCCTGACATGGAGAAACCGACCAGCACCCCGGCCCCGTGCACTGGCGTGGGGCTAACCCTGAAGCCATTTTCCAGGCTTCTCAGGGACACTGCGGCCGAGGCCACGTGCCCCCCGACTCACCTGGCGTGGGGGCGGAGCCCCCGATGCAGCTCAGCGTCCCCCGCGTGCACGTGCTGCAAGGAGAGGGCGGTCAGGGCGGCGCTGAGGCCGAGCCCTGGGGACCCCCGGCCCAGCAAGGCACTTACCAGACAGCCCCGCTGTCGTGCACCGACTCCCCGCTGGGGACCACGGAGCCCCTGTGGTAGCAGGGACAGCTGGCGGCCGGCACACACTTGCCCGCGTCGTCCAGGAAGGTGCCCTCGGCGCAGGTGCAGCCGTCCACGGGCACGAAGGGGACGTGGCAGGTGACGTCCCCCTCGCTCAGAGCACGGCAGGTGGGCTGGCAGGTGCTGACGTGGTAGTGGTAGGCCATGGACTCGGGGCAGGTGGTCGTGGGCTTCGCTGCGGCGCGGCAGGAGGGCACGCTCAGGGCTCTGGGGGCTGCCCGCCGGCCGGCCCAGGCCTCCCTCCCCTCCCCTCGGCCCCGCAGCCCCTGAGCCCGGCGCAGCGCCCCTCACCACAGACGCCGTCCCTCCAGCCGCGGAGCAGCACGTCCTTGGCGGCGCAGGCGCGCACGTAGGAGGACAGGGCGGCGCACATGCAGTCCTCGCTCTTCTCGCAGTTGCACGTGTCGAACATGCAGTTCTGGGGGTGGGGCCGGCGGGCGTCAGGGCCTGGTCCCGGCGGTGGGCACCCCGTGCTGCGGCCCTGCGGCCCGTGGCCCTGATCCGTGGTCCAGCCCTGCCCTCTCAGGTCAGCTCAGCTGCGGCCCTGACGCAAGGCCAGGGCTCCAGAGGGACTTGGTGAGCGGGCGGAGAACGGATGCGCCGGTGGGCGGTGGAGACAGACTCGGCTGGGTCCCAGCCCCCGCACCCTCCCACCCTCCCTCGGGGCAGCCTTAGGCTCAGGGTCAGGAGATCCCCTGAGGAGGGGCCGGGCGGGCGTTACCGAGTAGTAGGTGTCCGGGCTCACGGCAGCGTGGCACTGAGCGAAGGGGCCGTGGGTGTCAGTCAGCCGCGAGCACCAGTGCTGGGCGTACTTCTCTGCGGAGGAGAAATGGCCATCAGCGGGATCCTTGGCCAGCTCCGCGCCGGCCTGGGGACTGGGCGTCGGCCCCCCTGGGCGGGCGGGTGTCAGGGCAAAGCCTGCCACGTGCTGCGTGGTCCCCCGCTCGGCCCCCAGGGCTGCCGCCTGCCAGGGGCGCTAGTGGCTACCACCCTGGGCAGAAAAGCAAGGCCCTTCTGGCCCCGTCTGGGCGCGCAGACCCCTGCGTCCTGGGCCACAGGCAGTAGGGGAGGAGCCCAGGCCCAGCCGAGCCTGAGGACCCCCTCATGCCACTGCCCAGCCAGGGGCCGACGGGCAGGGTCAAAGGTGAGTGAAACAGCCTCGCGCCCTGTCTTTTACCCACGAGCAGGGGCAAGTTCACGACCTCCGTGGAGAGCAGGGGGTCCCCCCGGCCCCGCGTGGCACACGCACCGTTCTCCACGCTCAGGGAGCAGGGGTCCTCGAAGCTGTTCCTGACGTTGGGGCAGGCGGCCTGGGTCTTCCAGGTGTTGGCGAAGGCCGCGGCCGTGCCCTCCACCACCCCGCTGAGGGCCGTGAAGTCGTCCGCCTGGTTCTGGTTGAAGTTCCCGCAGAGGCCTGGGGGCGGGAGGCGGTGAGGCCCCGCGTCTGGCCCGCGAGGGTGGCTCGGGGACCCCGGGAGGCGGCAGCTCTTACCGCAGGTCAGCCCGCGGAGCTCGGGCGCCAGCCGCACGAACAGCTGCATGGCAGGCACCAGCTGTATCTCCAGCTGCAGCCCCAGGCTGGTCTGCGCGATGATGAAGAAGGTGGAGGGTCTGAAGACGGTGACGTTGGCTGTGGACAGACAGGTGAGGGTTTGGCCGGGCAGCGGGGGCGGGGCCCGGGCGGCGCAGGGGAGGGGAGGCGCCTCACCTGCAGAGACCGGCAGCTGCGTGTAGATCTGGTTCACGAACACCTTCCCGCTGGCCGTCACCACGACCGCCTGGGGCCAGGGGACAGGGCTAGCGTGGGCCAGGCCTCCGCTGCGCCCCGGAGGCGCTGGCCCTGGGGGACACCCCGACCCCCCTCCCGGGCTCCCCCTCAGTCCCGCCGGCCACACCCACCGTGTGCGCCCCGTCCAGGCTCAGCGTCACGCTCTTCAGGCAGGTCTCGCTGTCCGTCAGCCCGCACCTGCGCAGCTCGGCCAGCACGGTGAAGGCGGTGCTGTTGCAGGACTGCGGGACGGCAGGGGCCTCACACTCCGCCCACCCAGCCGCCATCCCTGCCCGCTCTGGCGCCCCCATCCCGCCACCACCTGGGGGCTTTGTCCTCATAACCCCCAGAGGGGCGCTCTCAGGACCCCCGTGGGGACACCCAGGCACACACTGAGTGACAAATCCGAGAAGGTGGCCCTGCGCGACGCCAACCCGGCGACCGTGCGGGGAGGGCGAAGGCGGCCAGTGCCTGCCGGGGCGGGGCAGGGACCCAGCTCTGTGAGACCCTGCAGTGTGGACACCAGACACTGCGCATCCGTCCAAACCCACGGAACGGCAACGCCGAGAGCGAGCCCGGGCGTCAGCCACAGGCTCCAGGTGGCACTGGTGCGTGGGCCCAGGCTCACCGACGGTGACAACACCCCGCGCACGGGTAGGTCGCTAACAGCAGGGAAACAAACCGTGTGCTGGGGACGGAGGGACGTGGAATTCTGGTGCTTCCTCCCCGGTTTGTCTGTGAGCCTGGAATTGCTCTAACAGCTATTGGTCGAGACCCAGGCCGCAGCACAGTCAGGCTGGCGCCGGCCGTGGGTCCCCCAGTGCCGGAGGCCCCAACCAGCAGCCTGAGGGACCCACGGGGACGCACACTGGGGAGCCGGGGTGTTTCCTCGCGGTCTCAGCCTCGCAGACCCCCGGCCATCCCCGTTCCCGAGGGGCGTCTCAGGCCCCGGGCGGCCCGAGCCGTACCTTGGCCAGCACGTAGCTGCAGTCCCCGTGCACCGTGTACTGCTTCTCGTCGAATGTGGAGAAGTGGGCGCCGCCGAGCACGGAGCAGGTGCCCGGGCACGGAACCTCCCGGCAGCTCCAGCGGCCTCCGGAGCAGGTGCTAGGAGCAGCCAGAGGCCCCCGCTGAGTGCGGACCCCGAGCACCCGACGGTGACCTGGGGGCCGGGAGGGAGGCCCAGACCTACCAGTTGGCGCAGTCGGTGGTGTAGACGGCGCCTGGAGCGTAGGTGGCCCTGTTGTACGTGCAGGCGCACTGGGACGCGGGGACGCAGCCGCCCTGCCCGACGTCGTCGAGCACCGTCCCTGCGGGGAGCAGCCGTGTGACAGGTGCCGGCACCGCGTCCACACAGTGGCGTGCAGAGGGGCCGCGGCAACGCAGCCCCCTGGCACCCAGGACGCATCCACGTGTTTCCCTGCCTGGGCGGGGGGTGGGGACGCGCCTCACCCTCGGGGCAGAAGCAGCCGGCGACGCAGTGGTCCTCGCAGGCACGGGAGTGCTCCAGGTTGGAGCAGGTGTCCTCGCAGGGCGAGCGGCACTCGTGGTACCGCATGTTGTCGGAACACGTCTGGGCTGTGGGGACGGCAGGGAGACGGGTCCACGTCACGTCCGGCCGGGCCGGCCTGGGGCAGGACGGCGTGGGCAGGGGCTGGGACGGGGCACTCACGGCAGAGGTCAGGGCTCCGCCAGTCCTGGGGCTGGCCCCCGGCGTGAGCGCACTGCCGCGAGTACTCCGCCAGGGTGTCGCACATGCAGCTGAGCGGGTCGGCGCGTGCGCAGAGGCAGAGGTCCTGGCGGCAGGCGTCCACGTAGCTGCCAACGTCCACCAGGGCCGTGCAGCCCGCGAACAGCGGGCCGCCCAGCAGCTCCTCGCAGATGCCCTGGGGCAGAGGCCGGGCCCAGCTGAGTCCGGGCTCAGGGCCACACGCAGGGACGTCTGTGGCGTCCCGGGTCACAGCCCCTCCCCCCCACGGCCCATCCACCCGAGCCTTACGAAGCTGGTTGAGCAGTTCAGGGGTGCAGGCGTGGGGTCCTGGCACCGCTCCGTGGGGCCGTCCAACTTCTGCAGGTTCCCGAACTCCAGGGGCGTCAGCTTGGTGTCTGCAGAAGCACAGAGCCAGCTCTGCCCGCGTGTCCCCGTCCACACCGCCGGGGGACACGAGGAGCCAGCACAGGGCATCCAGGGCCCAGGGGTGGTGGCCTGAGGAGTCAACTGATCCGGGACTGGGAGCCACCTGACTGCCAGGCTGGGACGCCACACGGGGCCAGAGCCTAAACCCCAATCCTCCCGGCCCTAGGAGACGCCACCCTGCGCTGGGCCCGCCTGGGCAGGGGCTGCCGCACGCTCGGTGGCTCCGTCCCCTGTGGCCGCACGCCCTGCACGGGGGCTGTGGGAGCTTCGCGGGCTTGGCACCCGGAAGCCGGGCCAGGGCTGGCTGGGGCAGGTCATGTTTGCAAGGCCACTGCTTGGCGGCAGACAGACCCAAGGACCAAGCAGGTGGCAGGTCCGTAACTTCGTGGGGCTGCGGGTCAGGGGTGGCTGCCCAGAGCAGCCTCTGAGAGCAAGGGGCCCGACCGGCGGTTCGCTCCCCCTGCACCCCCGTGGCCTGTGCGGTGCCGGGATTGCGTGTGTGCGTGTGTGTGTGCGTGTGCGTGTGCGTGTGTGTGGAGTGTGTGAGAGCGCATGCGTGCACAGCCCGGGACTCTGGGAGGTGAGCCCTCGCGGGAGCAGTGGGGATGGGTCCGGCACTGGCACCAAGGTCCTTACTGCGGGAGAGGAACTCGCCGACCGCCGGCTGGCCGTTGAAGTCCCCACACAGCCCGCAGGTCTGGTTGGCATACTTGGCGTCCAGCTCCAGCTGGAACGGAAGGGGACTCAGACGCCGTCCCCGCCAGGGGCGCCCCGGATGTGCAGGACGCCCAGGACCCCAAGGAGGCCTGGAAGCCCACGGAGGGACACAGGCCCTGGGTCCCTCCCGGACCGCGCGGAGCGTGAGCCTGAGCAGGGCTGGCCCCACCTGCAGGCGACGCACGGGGCCTCCGAGGGGACGCAGACCCCAGGGCTCCTTCTCTTGCCTGCTGTGTGGGGCGGGCTCTGGCACCCCCACCTCCGCAGAGCACTTTCTGCCCTCTCTGGGGCGGCCAGGGGGTGGGGGGAGGCACCCAGCCTCACCAGGAGGCCCGTTCCCCCGTCCCCACCCTCTGCCTCCATCCACCCTCTGCCTCCATCCACCCTCTGCCTCCATCCACCCTCTGCCTCACCCTCTGTTCCCCGTCCCCACCCTCTGTCCCCATCCACCCTCTGCCTCACCCTCTGTCCCCCGTCCACCCCAACCCCGTCCCCCCGCCTCACCAGGAGGCTGTCGTCCTCGTTCCATGTGAAGACCAGGCCCAGCCTGGCCACCACCCTCACGTGGCCACCGCTGTGCTGGATGAGGACCCCGGAGTGGCTGAAGGGCAGCCGGACCCTGCAGAGAGAGGCCGGGCGGAGCTACTGAGGCGCACAGCCAGGACGGGGCCCCCGGCGGGGAGGGTCCCTACAGCCACGAATGTGACCTGTGACACATTCACTGTGACCATGGGACAGGCACGGGGGCCCCGGAGCTCCGAGTCACAAAGGGCGGACGAGGCAGGGGCAGATGAGAGCCAGGGCTGAGGGGATCGCCCCCCACCCACTCTCGGGGCTCGCCGGTGACCCCACGGCCCCTCCGGACCGCGATGCTCCGCTGGACCCCAGCACTGACCGAATGCCAACCCCACCCGGCGCTGCCGCGGTTCGGCCCTGACTCACGGGCGGCCGTCGACCAGGACGGAGCTCTTGGTCAGCTCGACCACCAGGCCGTCGAGCTTCATGGTGACCCGGCTCAGGGTCACGTTGGTGCCGTTGGACTCCTGGCCGCGGCGCAGCTGGATGTTGAAGTCCTCGTAGGCGGCGCCGCAGTGCGCGGAGAACACATAATTGCAGAGGCCGGGGAAGCGGAAGACGTCCCCGTCGAAGGTCTTGTAGTGGAAGTCGCCCCAGGTGCTGCACACCCGCCCGCTGTGCGCCGGGTTCCGGGCTGCGGGCCAGAGCGGCGAGGCCTCAGGAGGCGCCGTCCGTCTGCGCACCCCGCACACCCCGCCCGGCTGTGCCCTGGGACGCACTGCTGCCCCCAGGCCGGGCATCTCGGGGCCCTGGCTGCACTTAGGAAGCCCTGGGAATGTGCTCGCTGAAGCCTTGGACCCTTCCTCAAGCCTCCTCAGTGTCCCTCCCGGAAGCTGGGACCCCCTTTCCCGCGGGCACCTCCGGGTCAAGGGAGGGAGCTAGGCAAGCCCCACCCTCCCCGCCAGCCCCAGGTTCGCTCACCTCGGACCACGGAGACGGCCCTCAGGGGCAGTAAGGTCGTCACCCCGCGGAGTGGGTCACCTGCAGAAACAGGGCTCCTGGGTGCACGCACGGCTTTGGGTGGGGGACTTCAGGGTCAGCCCAGGCTACATGTCGGGGCGCCCTGTCTGACCGTTACGTGCACGAGGGTGCAGCGAAGACTTCCGCGGGGGCCGCCCAGCCTCTACGGCTCTTAATTCCTCTGGGCTGCCGCCTGCAGAGAGCCCTGGGGGCTGTCGGCTCACACAGCCCTCCCCACTGGGCCCAGGATCAAAAATGCGACTCATGCCGGCGCCGAGGCTCACGCCCGTAATCTCAACACTGCGGGAGCCCAGAGGTGGGAGGATCACCTGAGACCTGCCTGAGCAAATAGCAAGACCCCATCTCTAAAAAAATACAAAAATTAGCCGGGTGTCATGGCGCACACATGTAGTCCCAGCTACTGGGGAGGCTGAGGCAGGATCTCTCCAGCCGGGAGTTCCAGGCCACAGTGAGCTGTGGTTGCGCCAATGAGCTCCAGCCTGGGTGACAGAGAGAGACTCTGTCTCGAGAAGGAAAATAAATGCCTGAGTCAACATCAGCAGCCCAAGACAAGCTCTTGGGAGCTGAGACTAGGCCCTCCCTGCTTGGCCCAGTTTGGGGCATACACCGGTTTACCCCTTGGCCCCGCGCTCGCCCCGCCCAGGGCTGTGCCAGGGAGGAGCAGCCAGGAGCCAGGCCCAGAACACGCGTGTCACTGAAACACCCAGAGTCAAGCAGGGAGAGAGGAAGGCAGGAGCCCGGCACCACGGCACCCGTGCACTCGCTGGCCTGGCAGGGGACGTGGGGCGCGACCAGCCTGTCTCCCCTCTCCACGGCAGCCTCCGGGGCCCGGCCTGAGCCTCGATGGCTGTGGCCGCTGAACGCGGCTAGGTGGCAGAGGGAAGGGCGCCAGGACCAACGGGGACCATGTGTGTGGAGTGTCCTCCTGCCCCTCCGAGCTCTGATCCCTCAGCAGTGGCCGGCTGGGGAGCCGCTCCAAGAGCGGCGCCCTGGGGACCCTGTGCCACGCCGGGCAGGGGCAGGGGCTGGACGCCGAGACTCACCATCGGACCCCCAGGGCACAGGAGTGAGGTCAGGGTGGTGCTCATAGCTGCGTTGGGAAGAGCCGTCATGGGCATGGCCTGTGGGACGAGGAGCTGGTCTGAGCCGCGGGCGCCCGGGCATCTCGGGCTGCCACAGACAGCGCAGGCCAGGGGAGGGACAGAGGGCCCAGGGCGAAAGGGGGTGGCCGGGCGCTGGGGGACCTCTGTCCACGCAGGCCGGGTGTCTGAGGTGGCACCCCGGGCCCTCCCAGAGGCATTCACTCATTCCCAGTCGTTCACGCACACCGAGTGTCTCCATGCTCGGGGCTCCTGCCTGGGCAGCGACCCCCAAGGGATCAGATAGTAAAAGCCATGGTCGGTCACAGATTGTCACCAGGTCACCAAGGCTCTGGGGGGAACCCCCCGTGGGTGGGGGACCTGTGGGCCAGGGGTGGGGTGGGGCGGAGGGACAGGTGGTGTCAGATCCAAGGCTAACCGGAGGACTGGGCTGGGCGGCAGGTTTCTGGGGTCCGCAGAGCCTGTGCCGCGTGAGCAGGGTGTCTGCAGATACCAGCCCCACGCAGCCCCGCGCAGAGCCAGCCTGGTGACAGGGCGTCCGCCACCCCCAGGGGACCCCGAGAGGGAGTCTTGGGCCTCTACTGGGAGCCTAAGCGTCCCAGTTCTTGTGCCTGTCTCTGGGGTCCTCGGGCCAGGCTGGGACCCCCACCCCCCACGCTCCTGCCCCCAGCAGGGCCAAATACCTCGAGCCAAGGGACGGGCGTGTTAGCGCCTGCAAGCCCCGGGTTCCCGAGGGTCACCAGGGGCCGGCGGTGGGGAGAGGCTGCCCACCTCACTCGCCCCTGCCCCAGCCCTGCCCCATCTGCCCCTGCTCGGTGCAGCCCTGGGGGAGAATTCCAGCCAGAGAGGGGGGCCTGGCTTGGCTGAGAAGAGTGATTCCCAAGGAGAGGGGGTGCAGGCAGCTCCGGCTCAGATCACACCAAGCAAACAGGGACGGGGTCTTCCTGGCCCTAAATCTGGCCGGAGGCTGGGCCAGGGCTGTGTGAGCCGGGCGGTCGGGGAGCCCAGGCACCTCACCCCACCCCGGCACCTCCTCCTGGGTCCAGGGCCCAGCGGCCTGCTGGGAGCAGAGGCCACACTGTCCACCTCCCATGGAAGGCAGAGACCCCGGGAGACCCCCACTGAGGCCCAGTCGGGGAGCGTGGGCTGGAGAGCTGGGCGTGTGTGGGGGTGTCCCAGGGCAGGTGCCCAGGGGCTGTGAGCCCCTCTGGCCAGGCAGAGATGGGGGCTCCTGCCTCCCTCCTCAGGGCTCTGCCGCCCGGAGGGTCCCCCAGCCCCACAGGCTGGGAACTGCTTGTCGGTGGCCGAGCCACAGGTCGGGGCTCCGTGCCTGGGAGCCGCTTGCAGACACGCGAAGTCTGCCCAGGGCCCAGGGCCGAGACCGAGCTGCCGACGCCCACCTGGGCCGTGGTGAGCAGCTGGGGCTCGAGTCCTACCTGTGTGCCGGGCGCAGGCCAGGGCAAGCGCCAGGCCCCAGAGTGGGGCCAGCTTCCTCCTGCCCATCCCCATGTGGGTCTTGGGAGGTCCCTGGAGGCCTCTAGAAGGGACCCAGGCGTCAGGGGCCTTTTGTAGCCCAGCCCCGGGCCCCACGTGTGTGGGCGGGGCTGGGCTGTGGTTCCCCTCACCCAGGGGCACTCACGTAGCCAGCAGCCCCGCAGGCAGAGAGGGGCGTGTCTGTGGGCAGGGCCTGCTTTCCCAAGGGCCCCCAAGCCCTGGCCGGCAGGCACCCCCCCCACCCCAGCCCCCAGCCCAGACTTGCCCCGGGCGCTACTCCTCACCGGCAGCCTGGTGCCTGGAGAAGCCACCACCGCCCCGAGGATGCCAGGTCCTGCCCGAGGCTCCCCAGGCCAGGCCTGGCTGGCCCACCTTGCCCTCCGGGAGGGGGACTCAGGGGCAGCAAGCGGCAGGACCCTCCCCACAGCAGCCCCTAGCCCAGCGCTGCGTGAAGCCAGCTAAGCTTCGCCTGCTGCCCCAGGCGGCGGTGGGGGGGCAACTCAATCCACGCGCGGCCTCTGGCTGCCGGTGCTCAGGGTGCCCAGGCTGGGGAGCTGCTGGCCGGCCCCAGCCCGGAGAAGTCCCACTGACCGAGCCTCCGCCCCGACGGCTCCAGCAGAGAAGGCGCCGCCATGTGATGAACGCTTGCCCCAGACCCTGGGTGTGGTGTCCAGCCCTGTCTGGGCCCCAGGACACTGGGGCTGGACTCTCCCTCCCCAGCAGCCACACAGCCCCCAGCCAAGGTCATCAGCTCCATCGCCACAAGGTGGGTCCCACCCAGAGGAATGGCAGGAAGTGGGGAGGTGGGCTAGGCCCGTGCCCCGCGGGGAGGGCTGGGGTTGGGGAGGTGCCTGGAAGCTGTTGTGAGTTTTGCTTGTGGCTCTCCTGGGGCCTGTCCCCAGCTCCTTATCACACCTAGTTCCACTGCTGTGCCCCCTTTAGCCCCAGTGCCTGGGAGAGAAGGCACTCGACACAGGCAGGTGTGCGGGAGCAGGAGCACTGGGGCGAGGGGAGGGAAAGAGTGAGTGAGTGGATGAGTGAGGGAGTGTGTCAATGAGTGGATGAGTGAGTGAGTGTGTGAATGAGTCAGTGAGTGGATGAGTGAGTGGAGGAGTGGATGAGTGAGTGTGCGAATGAGGGAGTGCATGAATGGATGAGTGAGTGGATGAGTGAATGAGTGGATGAGTGAGTGAGTGGATGAGTGGATGAGTGAGTGAGTGATGAGTGAGTGGATGAGTGAGTGGATGAGTGAGGGAGTGTGTGAATGAGTGGATGAGTGAGTGAGTGTGTGAATGAGTCAGTGAGTGGATGAGTGAGTGGAGGAGTGGATGAGTGAGTGTGTGAATGAGGGAGTGAGTGGAGGAGTGGAGGAGTGTGTGAATGAATGAGTGGATGAGTGAGTGAGTGTATGAGTCAGTGAGTGGATGAGTGAGTGGATGAGTGGATGAGTGAATGAGTGGATGAGTGAGTGAGTGGATGAGTGAGTGGATGAGTAGATGAGTGAATGAGTGGATGAGTGAGTGAGTGGATGAGTGAGTGGAGGAGTGAGTGGATGAGTGGATGAGTGAGTGGATGAGTGAGCGAGTGGATGAGTGGATGAGTGAGTAGATGAGTGAGTGGATGAGTGAGTAGATGAGTGAGTGGATGAGTGAGCGACTGGATGAGTGAGTGGATGAGTGGATGAGTGGATGAATGAATGGATGAGTGAGTGGATGAGTGAGTGGATGAGTAGATGAGTGGATGAGTGGATGAGTGAGTGGATGAGTGAGTAGATGAGTGAGCGAGTGGATGAGTGGATGAATGAATGGATGAGTGAGTGAGTGAGTGGATGAGTGAGTGAGTGGATGAGTGAGTGGATGAGTGAGCGAGTGGATGAGTGGATGAGTGAGTGGATGAGTGAGTAGATGAGTGAGTGGATGAGTGAGTGGATGAGTGAGCGAGTGGATGAGTGGATGAGTGAGTGGATGAGTGAGTAGATGAGTGAGTGGATGAGTGAGCGACTGGATGAGTGGATGAGTGGATGAATGAATGGATGAGTGAGTGAGTGAGTGGATGAGTAAGTGAGTGGATGAGTGGATGAGTGAGCGAGTGGATGAGTCAGTGAGTGGATGAGTGAATGAGTGGATGAGTGAGTGGATGAGTGAGTGAGTGAATGGATGAGTGAGTGGATGAGTGGATGAGTGAACGAGTGGATGAGTGGACGAGTCAGTGAGTGGACGAGTCAGTGAGTGGATGAGTCAGTGAGTGGATGAGTCAGTGAGTGGATGAATGAGTGAAGGAGTGAGTGAGTGGTTGAGGGAATGAGTGAGTGACCCCCTGGGAGAGCGCTGTGCTGCAGGTAAGTGAGCCGGCAGCTGGTGTCCCAGAGGTGTGACCTGACCAGCACAGCCAGGGATCCCGCCCTGGGGTGGATGCCAGGTGCCAAGGAGGGCAGAGGGCTCCGGTCGGCATGTGGACAGTGGACCCGCTAGGGGCAGGCCCAGCAGGTCGCTGGCTATGGAGGGCTGTGTGGCCTTCGTGCCCAGCACAGTGGGGCTGTAGGGACACCAGGAGGGTCTGCAGGTGGTGACCAGGACCCAGGCCGGGCACGTGTGAGTGGCCTCAGCCTGCCTCACGCCCTGGGAAAGGCAGGGAGGTGGCAGGTCAGCCAGTGTCCACGCTGTGGCCCCTGACCTGTCTGAGTCACCGGCCTGGCCCTCGGAGGACACCTGCGTGTCTGAGGCGGGGGCTGAGCCCGGGCAGCTGGCCATCGGCCACCCAGACCCTGCAGCCCTGGCCGTGCTGGGCTTTCTCTGATCCGAGGGACATGGGCCATCAGGCCAACCACCTGGTCCCATGAGAGTCCAACCAAGCCAGATGCCTCGGGAGGCCAGGGCCTGTGGCTCTAGGCAGGGTTCCTCGGACCCAGAACCTTCCAGAAAGCCCACCTGGCCTTGTTTCTGAGTCCTGTGGGGGCTCTCTGTGTGTCCCCGGAGGCCAGTGAGGTCCTGGAGCCCCCCAGGCACCCGAGCCATGCAGCCACTGCAGACCGCCGAGGGGGGTCCTGCCCAGGGGTGCAGAGGCAGGGCTGGCCCAGCGGCCTCGTCTGCCAGGACCCTCCCTCCACACAGGTGCCGGAGCCCCACCCACCCCGAGGGCGGCAGGTGGCCCACCCTGCACCGACCCTCCAGTGCCCCCCCTCAGGCGGAGCCCTCCCAGCCTTGGGGGCCGGAGTCAGCTTGAGGCCAGCAGCCAGGACACTGCAGGGCATGACTCGTTCTCAGGAGTGAGGGTGACTCTTCCCCTGAACCCCGAGTGCCCTGGCCGCCTGCCTGCAACGCCGTCCACTTCGTGGACGTGGCCAAGGATGAGCCGCAGGACTCCAGGTGGGGCTGTGGCAGGGGCACGGGGCTGGCAGCCCGAAAAGCAGGTGCACCCTTTAAAACAGACCCTGCCCCACCCCCCGGCAGGGCAGGACCCACCCCCACCCCAGACGCTCCATGCTCAGGTCAGAGGCGGCTCAGGGAAGCGCGTGGCCTGGGACCAGCTGCTTCTTGGAGCCTCAGTGTCCTCATCTGGGAAGTGGGTCTGTGAAAATCCTCCCAGGAAGAGGCTCATGGCGGGGACGGTGCCCACCGGGAGGACGCACAGCGGGGTGCTATGCCTGGGGGCCCCAGGTCCCGGGGCCCACAGCTCTGGCCGGGGTGTCACTGGCGCCCCTCCCTCCCGGATATAACCGCGATGGTTTGCTGGAACCCAGGAGTGGAGAGAGGCAGGGTTTGGCCTTGACGGGGTGTCTCCTGGTGTTGCCACGGAGACAGGAGGAATGCGGGTGGGGTCGAGGGAACAGGGTGGGGCCCGTGTCTTCGGGCCAGCGACCCTGCCTCCTACCCCTCCGACTTGGGACAGGAAGCAAGGTCAGGGGCCTTGCGTGCCGCGTGCCGCGGTGACTGTACCGCTGACGCAGTGGAGATTAAGCCCAGGACAGGACTTCTGGGGAAGGGCCAAGAAGCAGGGCAGGGAAGGGGCTTGAACCCGCAGAGCGGGGGTTCGACCCGGGTGACAGGGAACTCCACAGACCCCTCCACTCTGTCCTCAGACCCCCATCAGGGAAGGAAGCGGCCACCAGGCTGCCAGGAACACAGGCCCTGCCCAGCCCTGCTGTCACCGGCTGCGGGGAGCAGGGCCAGAGACGCTGCAGCCCCAGCGCTGGGACCGCTCGCCCCCTCAGCTCCTGGGTGTGGCGTGGGGGGACCGGCAGGGCTGTTGGGCTCAGCCAGCTCTGGCTGGCAGGACCTGGGGAGGCCATGCCCCACCGCGACTCTCAGGCCGCCGGACCTCAGCGTCCTTGTCCTGCAGGAGGCTGCCCAGGGTGGGGGCTGGGGCTCTATCCTGGGGAGGCCGGGTGTGGCTGGCGTTTTCCCCTGGGGGGGAATCTGGGCTGTGGTCCCCCCATCCCCGCTGTGTGTCCTGGGCCAGTGCATCACCCTCTCTGAGCCTCAGGGTCCTCCTCTGTGAAATGGAAAATCTTGGGACCCGCTGCCCGAGGGTGACCTGAGCTATGCGTCAGCTACAGCATCCTCCGAGCTGGGCTGGTCCCCAGGACGTGCTGGGAGCCACCTGCCACCCGCCACCCGCCTCGGGCCACCCCTGAGAGCCCGAGGGCCAGGTGAGGGGCCTCGCAGAGCCCCTGCCCCGTGCGGAAGCAGGTGCTGCCGCCACGTCCTGCCGCCCCCACGGCTTTCTTGCATCTGACGTCACGCCCGGCGGAGGCAGGACCGCCACAGCTCAGCCCGCATCGGGCGCGGGGGTCCAGGGCTGCGCCTGGCCCCGCCCTGCCTGCTGACGCTCTGGGGGAGGCAGAGGCAGGAAGCCGCCCTGTGGGGAAGGGGCCGCGTGTCCCGCCTTGACGGGCCGTCTGAGAAAGCGGGAGAATATTCCAGGAAGAGGCGGCGGAGTCCCTCGCGGCGGAAGCAGGAAGTGGGATCCGGCTTTGGGGGAGGCCCCGAGGGCCGGGCAGGGGACGGGGACGCTGA